ACACTTCATTGTCAATTCAGGTAGTTGATATCTAGTTATCTAGTGCTTTTCCGGAGTGTTTATATAATTTTTCTATTTCTAATATTTGTGCAGTTATTTTCAAAATTATTCTGAAATGTATAAAGGCAACATGAACAAACCTACTATTATAATTGATTAATGATGAACTACATTATAATTGTGGAATAATAGCTTCCAAACGATGTATTAAGTAAAGTGAAATGTATATTTTATTACATTAAATATTTGGTAGTTTTCTTTTGCTGCAAAGAGCTAATAATTGTAACATAACTGTATTAAAACAAACACCTTCACTATTCAGCAACTGCTTTTAATAAAAAAAAACATTACTTCAAACTTCCAAATCGTTCAGTTTTCCAATAATTAAAATAAACAAACTGAATTTAGAATAATAATACATATAATTCCAATACCATAAAATTCTGTGGTGATGATACTTCCACTGCATTTCTAACTGGTAAGTATTGTTAACGTATAATGTATAACCCTAGTGTTTCTCGAAATTCGAACAATTAAAGTCAAAGTTATACTGAATTATAACATCTTTGATTACGCTATTCTTGTTATGACGAATGTTACTTTACTCTAAGCCGACAATATCATTATCTAAAGTCATGACCAATTTTTCTATAACAGTGTACTTTCATTTCCCCTATTAATGATGTAACATCTCCAAACTTTCAATTTAAAAGAAAGTTACGTTTAGTGGTAGTAACCATAAAATACGAATACATCTTCTCACTTAATATTTAAAACATTGCATCGAAGACTCTGTCTGACTAAAATTAGAAGTGGAAATAATCTTCTGACCAATCCTGTGCATCGAGACAATGATGAAAGATTATATCATTAGTCGTTGTGGTGTCCTGTTGATAAGCTACAAATAATAAACCTTTTACTCTTCCTGCAAAAGGTTTCGTTCGGAACCGTCAGTAATGATCAATTTTTGAATTAACTTTAAAATCAAACGAAAATCTATATAAAAATTATTGTAGCTTAAGTTACGGAAAAAATATGACTGTGGTTCAAGTCTAGTAAAGTAATTCCATTTATTTCTTTGAATCCTTTTAAATGTTTAATCACATTAGAGTACTGTTCGAATCGCTGGAACATTAGATAAATAACTCGTTTGTATAATTTAAATACTACATTAAATTGTATCTGAAATTTCACGATAGCACCCCAAAGCTGCTACTGGTACTTCACAATGTTAAAATGAAACGTTAAAATTTAAGCATAATGAGCAAATTGCATTAAAATAAACATGCGAGTATATGATAAAATATTTAAAGCATTAAATATTCATCAGCTCGGTTAAATTGTTCATAATGCAGCGATTATTCGATGATTAACTTCAAGTCCCTGACATCTTGGAAGTATAGTAGTGTCTCACTTGTTATAGCATAACACAAGAATAATTTGTTCATACTGAACTAGAAATTAAGTTACCGAAAAATTCGGGTTACACATGCTTCACGCACTAGTTGTATACTTGTCTCACCATTTGATCTCCGAGGTATTTTAATATGCTTTATACTTATGGTGATAGGGTGGAACATGTGTTGCATGGTTCGATAAAATTGACCTACATATTCGTCGACAGTATACCACATGTACAGAAACGACAAGTGAAGTTATGTCACATGGCATTCGCTCGTGTTTTTTTCGAAGCTCCCAAAATATTTCTCTTACGCTTCGCCTTCTAGATATCCCACTGGTTAATTCTCTTCTTATAAAACCCATCTACTTTAGCTGTAGATGACGGCGGCTCCACTAAGAAGTGAAGAACAGGGGCATATCCTGGAGCAGGAATTGATGTGTGGGAGAAGAGTTCTTTGTCACCCATCAAACAACATAGACGTTTCAGCTGCTCGAAAGTAACAAACATACAGATGTTCCAGGAACCAAGCCGAATAAACGAAGGAAAAAACCTATAAAAGTTCAAGCAAAGTTAGCAAGTAAAATACCATAATACAGGTTAATCAGAAAATACTGTTTGAACTTGTGATTTTTGATGGAACAAGACCCGTTTAATTTAAAATTTCACTTTCTGCGTACGTCAATATATGAACTGTTAGTGTTGCTGAAATTGACAGTATTAATATTTTGAAGCAATGACAAAACTACTAGGGCTATTTATTGTCATTCTTAATTTTAAGTTATCGACAAGAGAGAAGGCAGTCACTCAACAGCACCCTACCATCAACCATCTACACAAAGGGATAGACTGTCACTCTTATAACGTACACACAGCTTGAAGTACGGGGAATATGTTGTGGTATTGCATGGATTCGAGCCCGTCTTACCAGCACCGAAATCTAGAGCTCTACCACAGGGCCAACCTGCACCCTAAAAAGTAGCTTTATGTGATGTTTTACAATAAAATATCTATGTTCAATTTCATGTATATTTTTTAGACAAAAATCATCCTACCCTTTATAAAAAGATAAAAATCCGCCTTCTCTGAGCATTTTCACTGCACAGTCTAGTGCTCCACTATACTGACCCTGCCAGGAATTCATGAAGCGGGTCTTTACCACGTCAACAGGGGAGGCGATCACAGTAGCACAGAAGCCTGCTCCAAAAGCTGACACAAAGTGACAAGGAGCGTTGTCTGTCATCAAGCGGCGATTTATAATCAGTTCTTTAATAGCGTCGTAAGCCACGAGTTCAGAAGCGTTTACCACGGCGTTACGTGTCACGTTTGGTAGAGTACCTAAAACAAATACATAAATCTCCAAATCGATATCCCAATCTTTGAAGCAGAGAAACTATAAATTCAAATAGAGGAAACCAGTAAAGAAGTTGGTAGAAAATATGTACTAATTTATAATCAACCTTCGTGCTCTCGCTTTTATACCAATTTACAATATTCATTTTTAAACGTTTGTTTACAATATATCAGTACGCATTGTTTTACGAACTTCTTAACTAAGAAATTGATTTGCTATCTCGTGCTCCAGTAATATCACTAAGTTATCCATACCTTTCCATAACCCTTTCATGCCTTCCTCTCTACCAATCATACGATAAGCTTGTAAGGCGCCAGTGTAACGTTTGGGTTGGCCGGACACTTGTGCTTGCATACGAACCTTTACAACATCCGTGGGTTGAGCGCAGATCACAGCCATACCGCCAGAAGTGATTCCAGCCATAATACGGATTCCCACTCCAGCTTGGGAATTGGGCCCTGAAAACAATGAAACCATTTCTTTGAGGGTTTTTTTTCTGTGAGTAGTTAAAGAAAGCACTACACTGCTGACCAATGCTAATAACTTTAACGCTTTTAACAAGTAGCTATAGCAGTTGGGAAAATGAATATTCCTTCGTCGTGGAAGGCTTTATAACTTTAATCATACCATATATGCAAGAAAGCAAACTTTATGATGAAAGTTAAGTTTGTGTCATCACACTGTTTGTGAGCGTAATAAATTTGAAAATGTTCCGAATGATTTTAACTTGCAAAACTACGTAGCAGAACATATTCTATCTTTGCTACAAAATTCGAGAAATTAAATTTTCTAATTCACTTCCATTACACTAATTCGGTAAATCAGCAAGTATAACAAGGTTTTTGTATTCAGACTAATCATATTGTTGAATTTGCTAGCCAAATGTATCCACTAACCACTCAATAAGTTCTGGTAGAAGGATCTAATCGAATCGTACAGTCCAATCCGCACAGATGCGAACGCCATCTGTCGTTGAAGGCCGGCACACAATCCATTGTACAGACTCTTAGGTCCTTCCTGTCGGGCAATTGTTGTCAGAGTACCTAGCATACCTCGGTACTTTGGAGTAACGGTGGTTTTTAGGAACGAATTCCCAGTGATTTTGACAGGGGCATTTCCTTCTCCTTGTATCTGTAAATAGTCCATAGGATCAAATAAAATGAATAGTAAAACATGCTTATAGAGAGATAACATACTTTTTTTCAAGTTAACTCATCAAACAATAATGTTATGTGAGGCATACAAACTCGATATTAAAACCTTTTCAAACAGAAATAAAAGAAACAGTTAAAAGTATTCATGAATTGGAAATAGTCGATGAAAACAGTTAACAAGTAACATACAGAAATGCCTTCACAACCCTTCTTTTCAGTCTTTACCTAAAAAACAAAAATATATTATTATCAAAGAATTATTTCAGTTCTCATACTATTAAACTTTTTCACAATGGTTCTCATTATTATTTTTTTGTAAAAGTTTATGGAAACGTTAAGGAGTTATTTACAATCGCCTTTCTTCTTTCATAGGTTTTATTTTTCTCTGACACAGTTGTAATTCGAAAGATAAGTGAATTATAATAATAACAAAATGCGCTTTCATTAGACCTCTAGAATTTACAGAACGGTTACGTAAAGTGAGAGATAAGAGTTTATCATCATCATTATCTGGTATTTAATTTACTAAAGCTTTAATATAATGCGAACAACACTGACATAAAACTTTTCATTTGTCACAAGAATAATTGCCTGTAGAGAATAACTTTACACTACAAAGTCAACTAGGTGATGTAATAAGTGGACATAATTTCCAAGTTCCAGTTTCAGCCAATTACGTAACTTCGAGCAGATACTGACAAGTAAGTCAACCATAAATCAAACCAGCTGTTTTATAGATTAAATTAAAAAATAACATCAAGATTTATGGTTGTTGTTTTTTCAATATATGTGTGTATGATTAGTGATGAAATAACAGTGAATAAAGCAATTTTACGGGTTTTCGCACAATACAAATTACATTAAGTTTTCATGATTCATTCATTGCTTCATTAAAACAAACGCACATTGATCTAGAAACCAGTTTCAAATTTCGCAAAAAAAAACAAAAAACCAATTCAGTTTTTTAGATGTATACTTGGTTTTTTGCTATATTGTTTTATAATTTCTCTGTAATCTATTCATGAGGACTACACTTGCTAATATTGACTTTAGTTGGCAGTGAGAGAAGACTAATCAGAGTTTATGTTTAAGGTGAACCGAAATAACAATCAACCTATTTTGAGATCACTGGAGGCTAACAGACGCGTGGAACAAAATTGCTGGCCTCTTATGCTCCAGATGAAAACGAAACTATCATGGGCATAACGCAAGTGTGACCTTGATAAAACACTTTTTTTAGTTTTAGTAGTAACAAGCAGAACACTTGAACCAAAAAGTCGCAAAACCTGTACTTGGAAAAAATACATTAACATTGTTTACACCACTCGAGTTTAGATATAAAAACACATTTACTTGAGTAAACAAACAAAACTTACTTGTAAGCGTACTTTTGCAACATCCAGAGGAAAGGTAATACTATCAGCAATACAAGCGGCTGTTCCAGCACTGAAGAACTTGATCACAACTGTAGGTTCCCGCTTCGTAGCACCAATTCCAACCATTATGATAAAGATGAATTTAAAACCACCAATTTGATGAGAATAAATATGTCTATACTTCTCACGATATAGACAATTCCTAAGAAGGAGTATACTAAATATCACATATAAATTCAATAAAACTGCTAATTTACTTAATTTTCTAGCATTCACAGAAAAACAATGCTTGATTAATTATTATAATAATGAAGTTATAATCCCCTTCTCCCCATAAATGTATTCTTAGTATTTTCTTAACAAGAAATCTGAATAAAGAAATTTGATTTAAATGTTATTATAACTCAAAGTAAGAAATTCTTAAATTATACAATTAAATTATTTAATACAATTCACGGTAAAGTGAAATAATGTCAACTAATGTAAGGGGTAATTTTGAATGATGAGTGTAATTATCACTAAAACAATTCAGTTACGTTTAGATGGCTGGCACAATATGATCCTCGGTTGGAGCTAACAAGGTCATGTAAAAAAATATCTAGGGCTAATATTTACCTCTTTATTCCTGGGTTTAATTTGTACTAAGTACCACTAAATCTGGACAGTGTCGAAAGGAAGTTGAAATAGGAGAAACTATACTCCCAGTGGTCAGGGGTTTGTGCCCCACGGCCGACGTTGAATGTCTTGTCGGATATTCGCCGAACTTTTAATTTCATAATATAGGCACTCTGAAAATATAGTAGTCTATATGTAATAGAAGTTAAATGACACAAGTCTATTATAGTTTGATTTAATTAATGCAAAAATAGCTATGAGCTTGTGAAGTAACAGCTATGAAGCGTTATATTTTCACCAACAGCAAGTTGTTGATTCTAACTATTGCATAGTTTCAGGACACTTGCCAAATTTCATTTCCTAAGAAAGAAAATAATAAAGACTTGAAAAGGTTGACTATTTTTGGAACATAGCTTGGAAGAGTCAACGTACAGCATGTATAATCTTTTGTCAAAGTTCAGTTTATGTTTGACTTTACCAAGAAAAAAAAGGAGTGGTGCCAACACAACTGGTTTCTTGTCCTTAACTCATTTCATTTTCTCCTATTTGTTAGCTGAGAGTACCACATTTAACTCTACGTCAAAGAAATAAAGACAGAATACTTGACGTATACGGAACATCTCAGTTAAAGCCTTGCTTGACATATTCTGTTAAAATGTACATTAGTTTAACATATCCGTATTCATTTCTAAAGCTTTATTTAAGTGTAGAAACAAAAAGTTTATTTTTCATTAAATAAACAAAACGAGTCACCTTCACATTCCCACAATTAAAAACGCATTTTTATTTTATGAAAAGTGGAACGCTCAGTTCCGGTTCTAGATTCAGCCAGTTCCAGATGCCACGAGAACGTACAAAGAAGTAAATGGTTTAAAACTAGAAGCTTACGACATCCTGCACACGAGAATATAACGATATCGATTTCTAGGCAATGTTAAACCTCAAAATCCTGGTTCATTGTTATCGTGCCTCTGAAAAAGCTGTAACAAAGGGAACTGGAAGCGTAATTTGTTTTGTTTAAACAACATGTTGAAATTATCACACTAACTCTGCTTGCTTAAAAGTATGTTAACTATTTTTAATTATACAGTTTAATTATTCCTTGCTCGTGCCGAGTTCGTATCTTTAAGAAATAATTACCTATAAAGCTGTTACTTGACTCACAAGAAACATATGTAAGCACAATCATAACCACTTATTTAATGCCATGTTTCCACAAAACTCGGTTTTTCTGGTTATTACCACGTCCGTACGTGGCAAAATAGCCCTTTTTTCATACACATATCAACAAAACAAGTGATTCACGCTGTTACATTAAATCAGCCAAGTTGCTTCTATTACAACAGATAGTTACATTAAATCAGCCAAGTTGCTTCTATTACAACAGATAGTTACATTAAATCAGCCAAGTTGCTTCTATTACAACAGATAATTTATAGAACATTTGTAGGCAATACCACGAATATATATACTAAAATTTTTGTTACTTTAGTTTTTGTTTTTTGTACGAAATAATGCTAATTTAATATATAAAAAATGACCTACCAAACTAAGTCGTATATTTTGTCGATATTATATATACTGGTTGATTGAAACAGTTAATGTTCACACAGGAGCTTTAAGCAATCAAAAATTACATCATCCTTTGTCACACATTGTTAATGGATGATTAGAAACACACTTTATTAAACATCATCAAGATGTGTATTGACTTTAACATACTGAGGCGAGGATTTGATTAAACACAAAGAGCGACTCTTAATATGTAACATAGCATGAAATACAAAAATAAGTTACCAAGATTTTTAGAAAGTTCATTTGGTCAGTTATTATATAATTTACTTTCTCTTCCGTTCAAATTCTCTATTTAATATCTAGCTACGTTTTATATAAAACTGTCGTGAAATTGTACCCTCAACAGTGCCACTGGAAAAACAATTGATTCAGTTAAATGAAAAGCATAATTAACGCTCGTAAGCGATTTAAGCAACTAAATTCAAACTTATCAGAAATTACTTTAACATAAGGTAAACCCAAAAGCATTTTTGCTAAAATGATTCAAAATAATAATTAATCATATAACTCTTACCTTTTAAGTAGTCAGGGAAGAAGTTAGATTATGTGAGAAAATCTTGCTTTATATAGTAATCCAAAGGCATCCCTACCCTAGTAACAACCAATGAGCTCACCCTACTGGAGGAACACCTTCTTACTGGATAACGTCACGACCTGCCATTGACAAATGGAAATAGAAATGACCTTTATGCATGACGTTTCTTGAGGCTTCACATCACAAGAAAAGAAAGTGCTGGGAAAGCTCCAGGAAAGTGTATAGGTACTATCTGGTTTAATCTGTTTCACAAAGGGATTTCTTAGACGTCACTGACATACTGTTTTCAGAAAAGCATTAGTTTAATATATATCTTTAGGAAAAAGTCAGACAATTTTGTAATGCAACATCACTTTGTGAAATTTCTACTTATTTTCAGATATTTGTGTAACATATATGCATAATGAATTGGGTATAAATTTTCTGTGTTTACTCTGAATGCCTATCTTATACAATAAAGCAATGTACTGCTTCATTCAACTTGAATTAATTCTGTGTTATTCAGGGTAATCCAAAAGTTAGTTGCTTCAGAGCACTATACTAATCCATCTTTTATCTCAACTGCTTCGTATTTAGTATTTATAAGAAATTCAGAGTGAAACTAACGAAGGGTATCTAGTAATATGTCAACCTCACTACATCTGCTATATACAGTACCGACGAGGCCTTTCTTCTGATGCCAGGGCTTTACATACATAGTAGTGATTAGTCCCTTACTCTCATTTCATTCCAGCACATAAAGCTGAATGGCTAACACAGCCCTCTCTTTTGTCATGAAATAAAACAGCAGAATATAGTAGTTAATGGATAATGGATAAGTGTAATTATCTTCATGTAGTGAAAAGGGTTCCAAATCAGAAACTGGAGGTTATGAAATTAAGGTTTTCAAGTATTTAAAACGTTATTGAGTCAGGTGTGGAGAGTTATAATTGTGACTGAGATATTATTTATTTAACAAACTGATTGCTAAAATCTGATACGCTGTGAACTAGATTAAATTGAGGAAAGGTAAATTTTATCAATTTTATTTACATCACAGCACATCAGAATTAGAGTAAGGATTATTTAATACTATATTGTTTATTTGTTAAAACACTCTATATATATTATTAGTTGTTGTCATTTTCGTGAATTAAACTGCTTAGTATTCAGAAGAACTATCGAACTAGTAAGACGGAATCTTAGGAGTATATGTTAACCATATGTAAATATGGCAAACAGGGTCCAACACATTTTGGTTTTAAACGACATTGATTTTTTAGCTTTATAAGTTGATTTGTTCCACTATAGTTTAAAGGAGCTAGGTGAATAACTATGTTTAACCATTGCTAGAAAATTGTAATCATACCTTTCTGTTAAAATGTTTTCACAAATCTTGTTTCTTGATTGATTATGAATAGCGCTGAATGATTTCTACTAAAACATATCAGTACAAGTATAAACGATCGTTCTTCTGCAATGGGTATTAAGGAAATGATACAAGGTCTGAGTAATTATCACCTGCTAACCTAGATTCAAGGAAGCTAACAGTCTAAAGGTTTATCACAAAACAGAATATCTTCAAAAATCAATAGCTTCGAAAGTAAATGTCTGGAATTTTGTAACACACACACACATATATTACTCATTTGTAATGATGTGATATGTACCAGACTAAAGTCATGACACTTCAAACATGTATATATTTGGTGACAGATCGGAACTTATATTAAACTATAACAATTAAACTTAATAGGTAATCAATAACACGAATAAATTTAATATATAAACGATAAAGTGAAATTCTTGTATTTCGACCATTCTTTTACAACAGAATCATTTTATGCTCATTACTTAGTAATATTAAACTGTGCCAACATACAGCAATGGGTCAAAAGTTCAGAGGCTAGTCTATAAATATTCAGGAAATATAGCTTAGAATATTTTTCAAAATGAAAGATAGTTTGACTATTGTTCATTCAATTCTACTTGTTACTTTGAATATTTACGATATCTACTTAGACCTAAAAACTATATCAGGTTTACAGACATATGAAATGTGTGATATTTATAATTTCATTATACAACACAATGAATTATATATTTGTAGGTACTCGAATGATAACAGAGTGTTTTCAAATATTATATAACAATAAAACAGGTTGATTCTCAAGTTGAGGTCATTGACAATCAATCATCTTACATTAATAATTCACTCTGTTCAGACAAAATATCAAATACCAGAATGTTATGTATCTAGCTTTGTCTTTTACGATAAATTACACCTCAGGAATATTAGTTTCTAATAAGTATGTTTGAACAACTAATACAAGTCTTTGTTTATATATTTCTTATGTAAAACTCATGTTTCAACATGCCCAATATGCTATCATTAATATTTGTAAGTAATATAATAGACCTAAGAACTGTCCCTTATGCTCTAAACTCTCCTAAGAATTTACTAATAGGTATTAAGAATTAGTTAATATGTAACTATTCAAGTTAAAGATATAAGTTAAACTTACCAAACTTTTGGTTGAGAGACAGAGCTAACTAAGAGAGCCACCTATGTTACTGTTGGTCAATCTCATTGAAACACAATGGATGTTATAACCTTGAGATATCACCTGAACGTTTTTATCAATTATCACAAAACTAATTTAAGAGTAGACTACATTCTCTTATCTCTACTAGATTCTGACGGCTCCTTAATATAACAACAAAGCTTTTTCTATTACTGTAACTTAAGGGAAAACCATATGATAACGTGTTGTGACTTTATCTTGTTTCTGTTACTACAATGAAATTTACTAATTTTCGTAAATCTTATAACACTTTTGTTGATGTTTAAAATGTAAATACTAAAACTCCATTTTTTACATCACATCCTGAGAAAAAAAGCCATGATTGTACATATCACCTTTATTGATGAAATGTTTCTCACTTCTTATGTTTACAATAAACATCAGCATTAATTTATTGTCTGATCTTTTAAGAATTATATGTCTTCCTTAGTGAGATCAACTTTGTTAATGCTGTTGATGTATATGAATTTTCAACTACGTCCAGATAAATAAAATACTCTATAATGTTTATGTTTTAGTAACTTTCTTAAATGTTCATTTGTCTGATCTATCAGGTTTACCATAAAAGGTAAAATTAGACACATAATTATCTTACCTTTGATTTTTTGTGTGTACTTATTCTAATCCTGTTACATTTGATACTGAACACTGATTTTAATTGACAAACGAATAATAAAATTAGATATTCTTTGTATAAGTGTAAAATATAATACATCTCATGTTAGTATAAAATTGTTTCAAAAACTATGTTAAAATATCTCGTGATAAATTCAGTGTTTGTTTCACATAATGTTACACAAACGAAAAATAAACCCTAACTAAAATAGTAACATGAACATAATATACAAAAGTTGAAAGTTGAATGAAAGCTAAATCAGTATTTATAAACTAAGATGCTTATGTAGATAATATATTAGTGTATCTTGAAGTTTTGTTAATAAATGTTTCAATATGCTTGTTAAATCTGGTATTCTACTTACATATATTGATGATAGCATATTAAGATATGTTAAATACTTCAATTTTAAGCTATAGAGAAGGGTAATGGGAGAGGTAAAAGGGTATAATGGGTGTAGAGTTTCTAAATAAAGACATGTTCTATGATTGTATCAGCTCGAATCATTTTGGAAAACGTCCTTTATGTTTCATTTATGATAACTTATTCTGTTTGGCTAATAACTTATTAGAACAAATATATACATCAAGGCTGTAAGTTAGTACTTTATAAACTAATATGTTTTCGTAAATAGTATATTAGTATATTTTGAAGTTTTGTTAACAAATGTTCCAGTATTGAAGTTTTGTTAACAAATGTTACAGTATTGAAGTTTTGTTAACAAATGTTCTAGTATTGAAGTTTTGTTAATAAATGTTTCAGTCTATGTGACACTTGTTAAGTTTGTAATTGTATTAGGTCGTGAAGAAATTAATGTCGCGTTTTCAAACACTTTCATTAACCACCCCCCAAAAAACGTGCATCAAGTATAATAGTTTATAGGAATTGCCTAAACGTTACGTTAGTGTAGCCTATATATTGTGTAAAGTTTAGTATACTCTAATCCCTTATAGTGACGGCACACTACGAGACATATTTGAAATGTAATGCTGTTTGAATTCAAGAAGGGAAACAATGCCTCTGTAGCCACAAAGAATATCACAGAAGTTTATGGAAATGTTTTGAATGTTCATAAGTGTCAACGATGGTTCAGCAAATTTAGTTCAGGTGACTTTAGCTTTAAA